AGTCCTTATATTAATAATTTCACCAACGGAGGATAAAGGATCGTATCTAAAAATAAAATATTGTTGTAATTTTAATGCTTCTAAGAAATGTTTGTAAACACAACCGTATAGAAAAGCTCAATAAAAGAATACTTTCATATAAAACATTATTTAAGACAAAGAAAAAAAAACTTACTTAACTTCATCATCTTCACCATGGTTGTAAAAATCTCCATTTAAAGTTAACTTTGGGTCGAACTGAATTTGCCATGTTCCTTTGAAGTATACAGCATTTAATATGAGCAATAAAGATGATGGGCTTAAATTAGTCAAAAACTTGTCTATTTTCCCATTCGTTTGCTCTTTTACCCAATTATTCACATCTTTCACTATTTGGCCTGAATCTCCAGCAAAATCAACCACCTGAGCATCTGCATGGAAGGAATTCTGAACTTCTTCTATGTAATCTTGATTCACATCAAACGTATCTGATAATAACACTTCATTTGCAAGATTTAAGACATAAGCGCTATTATCTTGTCCATTTCCAGGCAATAATTTGTTTAAGTACTGGTCGAAAGCTGATGGAACCTTTGAACTAGATAATCGAGCAGTGTTATAACCTAAGACGTTTTTGAGTTGCTGAAATAAATATATAAACTGACTATAGCAAGCATATTTAAAACTGCTTAGTTTACATACATTCATTAAAAACTGGTAAAGCAGAAATAATCATATGGTTGAAAAATTCAAAACAGAATACTAAGCATAATATTGTAAAGAGCGAACAAAAACTCAGTGTTTAAAACTAACATTAAGCGACAGAGATGGTGAATAGTAATCGTTTTGTTTTCTTCCCGTGATAAAATGCCAACTAAACCGCAGTTTTTTCTTACAATAACTAAACTAAGCAATAATCTAATAAAAATTCTGTAACCTCCCTAATTGTAGGCTCTAAGATATGTGAATGGTTGCGACCTTTACTTCAGTGGGTGTATTTGTAAACTGAATTTATGGAGAAGATTTTCGATCTGAAATGATCGGAAATCGGATCGAGACTGAACAAGATGATTTTGACCGAAAGACTACGAACACTCGAATAGTTGGGTACCAATCCATTTCAAATTCAAGTTATAAACACACATAAGAAAACTTTCTCAACTGCAAACATTTCTCTGTTACTTTACATCACCACCTGCTTTAGATTAATTTTTATACTATAGAAACAGAATTGTTGTGTTCGAAAAAACTTTTTTATAGCAAAATTTTGATGTTTCCTTGACTGCCTCATGATTAGAGAATTCCCAATTGAGGCTATTGCCTTTCCCCACAAGTTATACATTTTCGTTTTGTTTGCTTTCAACTAATATTTTAATATGTATTTTGAGTTTGAGAATCTGGCAACTTCGATAAAAAAAACTGGGTGCTTAAAGCTGGAGAAAAAGACGATCATTGATACACAGATGCATGATATATGACCTTTAACGTCAGCTAATCGCTTATAAACAGGATGACATAGTAAAGTCGAGCTAAATTTCTCCCTATTTTATAAACTTCACATTAACTAACAGTCTAACATATTAGACTGTTAATTAACAAATACGTGAAGTTTATAAAATACATCGCATCGCACCGCACCGTATCAAATTTGTTAAAATGTAATTTTTCTCGTCAACGCCTTAATCTTAACTTAGATTTATTATTTGTTTATGTTTTCTATTGAGACCGTGATATATTTTTCTTTTGTGTACCTGGCAACTTCGATGTATAATTAGTTTGTTCATGTTCAATATTTCTTCATGTCTGTCTCTGCGCTAAGTAAGAGATTTATAGTGAAAGATTGA